AGATAGTTAACTCCTGCAAAAGTGACAGGATATCTTAGGAAAACTGGATTTAAATCATTTTTTGCTTTGGTGAAAACTAGTTGTAGAGTCGGATTATTTAGAGAAAAATCTGGCTCTGGATCACCGTTTTGTTTTTCAACCAAATACTTCAACCATTTGGTATAAAATATTTGATACTAATGTTCACCCTACTTACAAACTCGGTTTCAGAATTTTCCAGACAGTTCACACAAAACGTAAGGGTGTGATGATGAGAGGAATAATAGATGGGAAACGAAAACCGTTATTATTGTGGACGGTGTTTACTCGAAGAATATTTGTGACAGTTTGTTAAATTATACTCAGTTTTCATGCAAATGTAGTTGTTTCGTGTACCGTTATGTACTTGTATAAGTATTTACGTGTTGTTTATTTCTTTGTAATACGTTCGCGCTGTTTCTATCGACAGAAACGTATACCTTTATGTACATGTAATTCAAATGGTAATTGGATGTTTCAAATGGAATAGTTTTCGTTAAGCCTGTTATTGATATGTCCGAGTCACTTATGGGTACAAGAGTAGTAAGGTAAATTAAGTTGAAAGTACTAACAAACTGTATATACATCCTCTCACCCCACAAAAAACAGTATACCAAATTATCATACCCAAAGAAGTCTGGCTATAAAAACACCTTTCTAGATTTTCTGTTGTGCGTCTTTAATCTGATCCGTTTAGCGTGTGTGTTTTGGAAGATCGTTACCTAAATAATTACATTTACAGAATGATATTGTAACTATTATAAAACATTATTTAAGTGTTGTACATATAGATATTCAATTAGTACATCATTTACTTACCACCATGTAGGGATACAATGTTGCCGAACAGTTAGTACATCATTTACTTACCACCATGTAGGGATACAATGTTGCCGAACAAGTAGTACATCATTTACTTACCACCATGTAGGGATACAATGTTGCCGAACAATTAGTACATCATTTACTTACAACCATGTAGGGATACAATGCTGTCGAACAGTTAGTACATCATTTACTTACCACCATGTAGGGAGACAATGCTGCCGAACAAGTAGTACATCATTTACTTACAACCATGTAGGGATACAATGCTGCCGAACAAGTAATACATCATTTACTTACAACCATGTAGGGATACAGTGTTGCCGAACAATTAGTACATCATTTACTTACCACCATGTAGGGATACAATGTTGCCGAACAATTAGTACATCATTTACTTACCACCATGTAGGGATACAATGTTGCCGAACAATTAGTACATCATTTACGTACCACCATGTAGGGATACAATGTTGCCGAACAATTAGTTAATGTATTTATGATTTATTATAATAGGTTGTTTTCATTAATGGTTAAATGGTCAAATTTTTATAACCTCTGTCACAGTTTTTCACTGGGAAAGATTCTCATTATACAAATTTCCACTGAATTTAGTATCTGAACTTCTACAAGAGTAGATTGATTCACCAACCTGCATCCAGTAACCATGAAGCTAATTACTAAGGTTATGACTTGACAAAGCTATAAATAAACTGCTCCATCATTAAAAGTGATTCTCCAATTATTTAATTTCTGTGGAGCATAAAAGACAACCCTTGAAATAAACGACCTTATAACTTCACATTGTTTTATTTATCTAATTAGTTGTATATAAAACGTTTAGTTTTACAGTTTCTTCAAGAACTTTACACTAAAGCGCAATCACTAACTGACGGAACAAAGTTTCAGTTGGTTTATATAAGAAATTCCTTGCTTGTCTCTTGTCATGTTGTTGCTATTTCTTTAATTCGGAATTTAAAGTTTTTGTTAAAAATTGTAAGTGTGCGTTGATGACAATTTTTTCACATGAATACAGAATCATTTATGACTTTATAGGAAAATAACTATTTGATGAAATGTCGCAAATAATGTAATGACATGGTCATAAGCTATTATCCCGTTTGGGTATCCCGAATAACATTTGTGCTTCAGTTCGGATATAATGTCTGACTGCTACAACATGTCTACAAAGTCCTCACTGGTATCTACAATATGGCTATCTATTGAAAATGTACAGTCAAGTTCTGCAAGGTTCTGAAAATCCAGAATCCTTTTCTCCAGCAGATTCGGTTTCCTTTGAAAGAACCGGTGTTGTTGCATCTTATAATTGCTTGAAAGACTGATAAAGTAATGTGAAAGTCAGCTCAGGATATAACTTGGGACAGTGTTATGTAAAGGGACATGTCGTGTTTTTTCATTAGTTCCTGTGTTAAACCACAGGGGGATGTCTAATGACTCAGAAAATAACATCCCAAGCACCCGAACAACAATATCATCGTAGGTTTGTCAGCTAAATCCCAAGCACCCGAACAACAATATCATCGTAGGTTTGTCAGCTAAATCCCAAGCACCCGAACAACAATATCATCGTAGGTTTGTCAGCTAAATCCCAAGCACCCGAACAACAATATCATCGTAGGTTTGTCAGCTAAACAAATATCCATTCTTTCTTTAAATCGAACTTCTGGATACCATACTGCTCACTTTTGTTCGGAAATTCATTGTTATATAGACGCATATATTTATACACAATGGTGTATATATATGCTGTACTTTGTGTGTTCAGCTTTGGAAAATTGTATCGTTTGAGAGAGTTTATAAAGAAGTACCGTAACTTCATATCGGTGACTCGCAACTGAGCACGTTTTATTTAAAATGTAAAAGAAGACCTTAAACCTTCAGTTACAAGGTTGGTCAACGCAATGTAATCCTTGTAAAAACAAGTAACTCCAAATGTCATTTTAAATGAAAGTTGTTGCTATTTTTGTTTTGATATACTGTAAATCCATTTATTATTTTTTCACGCCTGTTTATTGAAAAGTATTTTAGTAACAAAAGTTTCGGAATCGGTCATTTTATAAGTTTGATAGTTTGAATGTGTTTCTTTGGTATAATTAATATACACAATATACAGCGCAGACTAAAAACGAAAGAACTGATCGTGTTAACAGTGTATACTCCATTAGGAGTAGGTTATTTTTAATACATCGCATACGTTACTTGGATTACGTTTATTTACTGATGATATACAGTTTGTGTTACGAATCAGCACCACACATGATCTGCTGATGAAGAGACAGGATGTTTAAAGTATTAAACGCTGTATTTTCTGTAATACTGATTAAATCATGTAAATAACCAAAGTTAAGCAGAAGGGAAAACGTTAAAAGCCAAAGTTGGAAATTACTGATTGAATAGACCGTTGATTTTATTAGACGCTGTATTTGTGTAATGTAACGATTTCAATATAAACCTGTAGTAAACACAATAATAAAAATGTCTATACAAGAAAACAATTTTTACACATGTTGTTATGTATGATGCCTGACCAAGCAGGAAGGTAAGACTAAAAGGCGAGGTTTGTTTCACTAAGTTCGTATTCACCACAATCTATTCTCTGGTTCTGTTGGATCATCCATTAAGCTATGATGACGAAATACAGTATAGGTTTTACGTTATTAGTAGTGTTCGAGCTTTCGACTGCTGTTATCGTGAGTATCTGTGTGTGTGTCATATATCAACCAGCGTTATGATTCCGTGACTTCTTCTGTTTTTATGGTGTATTAAAGGTACGAGTGCAAATCGATAGTTTTTATCAAACACAAAAGGATATTGAAATACTGTGATGGATTATAGGTGTATTTCGACCAAGTAATGTCTATACGATTTTCATTCGCCATTTCGTTCCCCCCCCCCCATTTAAACGGTGTATTTCGACCAAGTAATGTCTATACGATTTTCATTCGCCATTTAATTTCCTTTTTTCTCCAATTATACGGTGTATTTCGACCAAGTAATGTCTATACGATTTTCATTCGCCATTTAATTTCCTTTTTTCTCCAATTATACGGTGTATTTCGACCAAGTAATGTCTATACGATTTTCATTCGCCATTTATTCGCCCTTAAATTAAACGGTTTATTTCGACCAAGTAATGTCTATACGATTTTCCTTTGCCATTTAATTTCCTTTTTTTTTCTCCAAGTACACGGTGTATTTCGACCAACTAATTTTCCTTCGCTATTTAAACTGGCCTTTTTACTTAATGCAAACTACGTTTTTTGTTTTGTTTTTTTTGCAAGTAAGCGTAACTCTCACCGTATGTAATTTAATTACTTGTTTCTGTAGTTTTTATTGTTTTGAAGGGAATATGTAAATGTTTGTAATCCTTGAAAAAGGCGTAAGCCAAAATATCGGGTAAGATAATAATAATAAAAAAAATTATCTGAAGTTGTTTACCGTTTTCGATGTAAATGGTTGCTTATCCTTCAGTCAACACTGAAAACTTAATATATCTTTGTAACGTGCAATCCCCGAAGTTTAAATCCTGTTTAAGAAATTTAGAATACTAACTGCTGTGAAATAGTTGTGAATCCCGAATTTCAAGGTTTTCATTTAATTATTGTTTCAGTTAACAAAACCTATTAGAAATTGTTTACTTATAATAGTCCCCCGGTGGGAAAGAGGTAAGTCTACGGACTTACAACGCTAAAATCCGGGACTCGATTCCGTGCGGTGGACATAGCAAATGGCCCAATGAGGCTTTGCTCTACAACAAAAACAAATAGTTACTTATAATAATTTAACATGACTAAATGTACGAAAATTCACGGATTCTAAAATTATTGACATGATTATCAATCATTCGGATTTAAATCGATATTTCTAATTTTCTGTATTTTTCACTAGGGGGAGACCTGTGTGAAAAGTCATGCTGAAGTTGAGCATATATTGAAGGTAAGTCAGCTGTGCTTGTTAAATAGGGTGTTGAAATTGTAATGTTAATTTTTAGTCGTTTGTTATGAATTAGTTGGATTTGACAATGGTTCGAAGAGCAAAGTAGTTTTAGGTGGGCGTTTCCTTATAGTTTGATTTAAGTATATTTTTTATTTATTTAACCTCAAAAGTTTGGATTAGTGTACCCTTTTGTTAACTTATCATTTCACTTAATCACATTAAAATTAATTGTATTTAATTTGTCAAGGTTTCGTTGAAATTAATTTTTGACGAGTAACCGGTCGGGAGGAAATGAAGTAAAACTTCAACTTAAATAAAATTAGTTTGAACATTAAATATAATTTCATATTGTTAAATACAAACAGTTTGGTGGATATCGTTAATTAAAATAAAGTCGTGCTGCCATATTTGACATAGACATGCGTAAATATCTTAAATTTGTGTTATATGTGTACGGCCTGGTGGTTGGCGGTGGGTGATGTTGACTAACTGCCTTACCTCTTGACTATCACTGCTAAATTAGGGACGGCTAGCTCTCGAGTAACTTAAATTCAAAATAAACAAATGTTGTGTACACGTCCAGGGACAAGAAACAGATTCGTTAATAAGTATTATAATACCTGTAAATTTGCTGGAGAGGATGAAGTCCACAGTAGGTGTTACAGTGATTCCACCTAGGCGAGAATGGCCTTTGGACGTATCCACATTTCAAAAGCGTGGAATTCAACACAAAGTTTTCCTGCCACGAGCATCTCGCAGCCACGTTACATACCAGTGAGTGGTTATAGCTATCCAGAGTACTCATGATACTCTGGACGGGAGGAATAGATTAGTTGTTGACTGTGGAACATTCCTAAGAAAATTGTCCATAACTTATTTCCAGATTTCTTGCCCAACTCAATAACAGATGGAAGAGGTGCAGAAAAGCCATTAAACTAACTGATTCCTGGTTGAGTTTGCCGACTGCCCTGGAGGAATCAGCTTGTGTTCAACTTTCACAGAGCTGTATGGGGGGGGGGGGTGCTTGTAATATACTGGTAAAGGCACATATAAGTGAAGTCGAGTTTCTGGTTGATAGAGGGTCTTTCAGAATGATGGTCAACTTTACGTTTTACCGAGTAAATCCAGTTAATATGAACTTTGTTTTGTAAACAGTGACAAGCTAGATGAAAGTGAAGAAGTTAGTCTCTGACTTTATCTTGTTACAGCCACTTGCAGGAGAAGGGTATTTGTCTCCAATCTTGTTTCAAGTATTAGTATCCTAGGGATGAAACACCAGCAAAATATTTAGCCAGTTTCACGTGTACAACTAATGAATTAAATTTTATGGAAGAGATACATACATATTGAGCAATAGAACTGTGGATCATGCAAATACATGTTGAGGAGGAACGTAGGAAGTTACTCTGCTTTTGAATGTACAAGTAGTGTACAGTGTATTGATATGTTCTAGTGCACTTTTCACAAAACAGTTTTTTTTTGTCCAGAAATCAGACTGTTCTCACTCGAACAGTTTGCTGTAAATGCTGACCTGTAATTATGTACATTTGGCTATTCATCACCCCAGTGGAGTAGCCAGCCGTCAATATAGTGAATGAAGTAGAAGCAGACGGAACAAGTTGTACAACAAAAGTATATAAGGGTGCTTGTTCAGATTGTGGTTCAACATAGTGACAGAAGCTTTGAGTTGTCGGTCGAGTTTTACGATATTTTAATAGAACCAGGCAATTGTGACACATTACCACATACACAGATAACACGCATCTCATAAATAGCCAACATGAAGGCTTCTAGGGACTTGGCCTGTGTACAGGTCGAATGGATGTTGGAATTGAGAGTACGTGGGTGTCTCCATTTATTGTTTATCAGAAAGCAAGAAGGTGTGCTAATACTTTGTGTAGATACGCATAGATGCCTTTCTGATGTCTTGGACATGGTGGAAAGTGTGCATTGGTTTAGCACATCGATCTGACTTCCAGATACTGGCAAGTCGGTGCTGTCTTCTTTGAATTTCTCTCATACAATTTGGCCTGTGTATTGTGTTTGTCATTTTTGAGTGGCTGATGAAGCTTACACTGAGATGGCTGCAATGGAAAGGATGTTCTTTTTTTTTTTATCTATGTAGATGACATTTTGGTATTTGGCCATATCTTCCAGTCTGCTGCTGTAAAATCTTGGAATAACTTTTCAATGGATAAAGAAATAAGGCTTGAAATTGAAGCCAAGAAAGCTTGCACGTAGATGTACACAGATAGTATTCCTTGGTCACATATTCCATAGTGATGGTGTGTGTACAGATCTTGCTAGGATTACTAAACTTAAAGACTGAACTTAACTTAAGAGACAACAGCTGTACTGTCGCCATTTTGGTGACGACGTCTTTTCAGGATATCTAAACCATTTTCTGAACTGACGAAAGCTGAAACACATTTTAGTTGAATAGACTGTGACCAAGTATTTCGGGCCATCAAAGCGTGTTAGCTTATCTGAGACAAAGGTGTCTATTCACCTTGGATACTTATGTCGGTGATAATGGAATTGAAGTGGTATTGTCTACAGGTACAGATGCAGTAGAGCATGAGATTTGTTGGCAGTTGTGCCAGTAAAACTGTTAATGACTCCCTAGCGAACCATTCATATCTATCTGGTTTATAATGTTATATTGATAATCACTAGAAGCAATGATTAGTTTTCACTTGAGGTGAGGTATCTGTTCTTTAATACCGATTTGGTATTTTCAATTCAATCCGATAATTAACTAGTAATCTAAAAATAATAATTGAATTATTGCTTTTTGGTTATATATATATAACAAGACCACCGATAGAGGGGGGGGGCGAACGGGGGAATTATCCCCGGGCCGTACAAATTGACTTTTCAGAGGGCATTAAAACTTTGCCATGAAAAAGGCTCGGAAAATTGTATTTTTTTTTATAGTTAACTGATATTATGTAGATGATTAGCCCCAGGCCCGGAATAACTCTCGCCGGCCCCGACACCTAATAACATATGACTCACACACAAAACATTAATAGAAGTACCACCAATTTTGTAATTATTTCCATTAATTAGTGCTAATGTTCTCTGCATATTCTACACGTTAGCAAATTACTAGAGAGTTAAATATCGTTCACTTCCTTTTTTAACAGTATAATTTCTAGTGCTACAGAGAACCGTAACAGGTACTGAGTAAAACATAGAATGTATGGAATGCAGGCACGTGAAGAGGAAGACACCGAATGCATTCGACTTGAGCGTACATATGCGTTTACCGAAGAGATGGCATGCACATTAGTAGACAAAGTAATTGGTAACTTGCCAACTTTGGCACTCGGCTTAAAAACAGAACTACTGGTACCGAGTTTAATTGTTAATTTAGTACACTCGAGTAGGCATTCAGTCGCACGTCGTATTTATTGACTGCGCTGTCGTTAACGATATCTTGTACTAGATGTGCTATATCCTGTAGTTAACGATATCTTGTACTAGATGTGCTATATCCTGTAGTTAACGATATCTTGTACTAGATGTGCTACATCCTGTAGTTAACGATATCTTGTACTAGATGTGCTATATCCTGTAGTTAACGATATCTTGTACTAGATGTGCTATATCCTGTAGTTAACGATATCTTGTACTAGATGTGCTATATCCTGTAGTTAACGATATATTGTACTAGATGTGCTATATCCTGTAGTTAACGATATCTTGTACTAGATGTGCTATATCCAGTAGTTAACGATATCTTTTACTAGATGTGCTATATCCTATAGTTAACGATATCTTGTACTAGATGTGCTATATCCTGTAGTTAACGATATCTTGTACTAGATGTGCTATATCCTATAGTTAACGATAT